AAAAATGAATCACAAATAACGTAGACACGTGGTGGTTTTAAATTAGACAATTACTTTTCCGAAGTAGGGTCAGAAAGCTTGGTAAGAGAACCCTGATTGTCTAGCCTAGACTCCAAGAGTGCTATATATACAACGCTGCCTAAATATGATTTTCCAAACAAATTAAACTTTAATTTGTACGTACTCTTGTAGTAGCAATTCATTCATTTCCTCAAAAACCAAGGCAAATGGAACTAAGATCATCAATATATTCCCTCCTCTTTTTCTTTCTCCTTTCACTAACAAACCTCTCAAATGCTCTTAAAAACACTCATAAAATCCCTCAAAGGCCTAGGAAACCATGCAAGAGTATGGTGTACTACTTCCATGACGTACTCTACAACGGCAAGAACGCCAAAAACGCCACTTCAGCCATCGTAGGAGCGCCCGCTTGGGCTAACACAACCATTGCAGCAGGGCAAAGCCATTTTGGGGATGTAGTAGTTTTCGACGATCCTATTACACTTACAAATGATTTTTACTCCACCCCAGTAGGGCGCGCACAAGGGTTCTACTTGTACGACAGGAAGGACGTGTTTACATCTTGGTTAGGGTTCTCGTTCGTGTTCAACTCGACCGAGCACAAGGGGTCATTGAACTTTGCAGGGGCTGATCCTTTGATGAATAAGACTAGGGACATTTCTGTTGTTGGAGGAACGGGTGATTTCTTTATGGCTAGGGGTGTTGCTACTTTGATGACTGATGCTTTCGAAGGCGATGTCTATTTTCGACTTCGTACTGAGATTAATCTCTATGAATGTTGGTAATTCATGCTACAAGATTTGTTAGGATGCAACATTTTCATCATGTCAAAGTGGGGGTTGCAAAAATTATACCACCCACCTTCGTGTTTCTTTTTCTGCCTTGTTTTATGTTTTTGTTTGTGTAATTGCAAGTTTTCCCTTAATTCGAAATTGTGTATGATCAAGCCATGGCCATTTGAATTTTGACAATGGAGCATAATAACGATTGTGTTAGAGCACCATCTCAATAAAAAAACTTAAAAGCAAATGGTTGAGACCCAGGAATATGTTTTATATATAATCTATAATCTATTAGAGTGAAATAATGCATTTTAATTGGATGCATTATGGTTTGGTAGTACGTTAATTTAAAATTTCTAATCTTCGGGCCTGTTCACATTTACTTAATTTCAGTTCAGTTCAGTTCAGTTCAGCTCTTAATTTTCCTCTCTCATAAAATATTCATTTCAGCTCATTCAGTTCAGTTCAGCTCTAATCAGTTCAGTTCAGATCCAATCAGTTCAATTCAGTTCAGTTCAGTTCAGCTCAGTTCAGTAAATGTGAACAAGCCCTTCATGTTTGAATTTGAGGTAGTTAGGGTCATGTTATGATCAATAATTGGTTTTAGTTTGAATCTATTACAATTAATTCAAGTAGCAATATCTTAAAATCAATATTAGCCTTAATACTTACTAAAAAAAGAGAAAAATCTACTGTCAATAATTTTTGGGCTAGTTTACCTTTCAAAAAAAGAAAAAAAAAATTGTATAATTAAGCACTTAAAGTTGATGTTATTGAATATTCATTATGTCCTATTTTTTGCTCCATTGTTAAAAATGTGGGTCAAATTTTGAAAACTTTAACTGTAATTTCATGTATCAAATTTTAGGTCCAAACATGAAAGAGCATGTAATTTTGTATTGAATTTCATGTTTTTTCTTCTCCCCTTATAGATGGACAAAATAACTATTACTTTTAATTGTTACTTTATTAATGATGGATAAAATAGGGCACACACATGAAAAAAAAAAACAATCAAGTAAAAAAGTTTATTTGCTTATGAGTCAAAGTAATACTCGTTCCAAATTATTATTTTTTTTTTAAATGCCAGCAAATCTTACTCCTTACGTTTTTTATGAATGCTAAACAAAATTATGTGCATGATGACGATTGACGATGATGTGAGGTACTGAGCTTACAAGTGGAGTAGAAACTTTACTTAATACTTTATCTGTTTTTTTTTAATACTTGCAACACAATTTTTATGACGCTTTTTGAAAACGTGATTAAATTTGGAAAACGAATGAATTAAGCTATGAAATTATTTAAACCATACCAACTTATCCCTTTATTTTCATATACGTGGTAAAATTTTGTAAATTAATTTACCCGTTTATCTATTTTAATATCTTCCTTAAAATGCGTGTTGAAGGGGTGTGTTGCAACTGAATTAAAACGGAGGAAGTATAAAGTACGAGTAATCGATCAAAACGTATATTGAATATGGGGTAAATAAAAAGCGACGGAAAGAATATACCCCGTATATCAAATGTCTAACCATCCCCGAAAACACAGTACATCACACTATAACAGGCTTCACAGCCAGTCTGCGCTGCTAGCATTGCAATTTGCAAGTGCGGCTTCACACGCACTCTTGAAGCAGGCAAGACGATCGCTTTGGTGCACTTTCAGCTTCTCGCTGCTGTCTTTTTCAGGTTTTCACCAACTCTCTCTTTATCATCTTGTTTGGAATTTAACTGTAAATTTGGTGATTTTTTCTGTTAATTATGATTAAGGATCTTTGATTGAGATATAAGATATTGGAAAATATATCTATATGCCCCTAGTTTGTCAATTTTCGACTTTTAACCGTTAAAATTAACGAAGAGAACGAGTTTGTTGTTGTTTGTGAATTAAGTTGTTTAATAATCATGGTTGTTGTATTCTGTAATCATAGATTCGATTTCTAAATTTTGGATGCAGGAATTATGAATGATGCAAAAATTAGGGTTCAGCATTGAGAGTATGATAGCAATTTTCTAACTTTTGAAACTATGTCTAATTTTGTGATTTTAAAAATTGATTATGAACTCAATGTGCAAAACTAAATTGAAATTTGACAAGGAAATATTGAGGAATTGGGGAAGTTAAGCGAATTAACATGATCATTGATACGGATTTTAGCAGGCGAATCCTTTGAATACATCGTATGTGTGCAAGTCTTAAAAAGGATTTTTTGAGGTCTTGACTACTAGCAGATTTTAGTGCAATTGATGATTGTTTGATTTTTTGGGGGCTTTTTTGAGGGGGTGGGGGGGGGGGGGTAGGGATTAAGGGGCAGAAGAAAGCGTCGGATTTAGATGGTGATGATCGAGATAAGATTGGCGATTACATGGGGTTCCATTTTGCAATTGATTATGCAATGTATACAAAATTAACATGAGTTGTGATTTTTTTAGTGCAATTGAAGACTATGTGACATTTTGGTCTCTTGGATGGCTGGGATTGAGGGGTGGAAGAAAGAGTTGGTTTTAGATGACGGAGATCAAGATAAGATAAGCGATTATATGGGATATCAATTTCACAAACGGTTATGCTACTTAAAAAAAATTAACACAAGTTGTGCCATGATTATATTGTTCTGAAATCTGTATGTCCCAGCTTACTGGTTAGGTGGTTATAATACAGCTGAAAGCTACATACTATTATAGCTCTTGTGATGTCCATGTAATGTGTAATCATATTGCTTTGGTTATAAATTTCGAATTTGGAAGTTCATTGGCTTTGAAAATGAAAGGCAAAGCTATTCGGCTTAGTTGGCATTTGGCAGGATAGTGTTGAAACTTGAAATAGTAATTTTTACCAACCTATTGTTATTATGGACTTATGGTGTCCATGTTTAGCAGGGTTGTACTGCATTGGTTAAGAAATTTACCCAGAAGTTAGGTGAAGTCCTTTCAAAGTGTCAACGTCTATTATTTCTGAGTTAGGAAATTGCCATATTTTGATTTAAATTAATACAAGAGCCAATCTTGTCTTTTCCAATATGTTTGCTTCCTTGTGGGAGCACCCTATGTAATTGACTCCTTCAAAGCCTATTAGCTCAATGGGTTGAGCACTGTGCTCTTGCACGGAGGATGTAGGTTCAAATCCTACATAGGCTATGATATTGGAAAATTTTATGTAGAAGTATATATGGTAATATATCTCTGTTTATTAAAATATAATGCCAAGAATTGATTGTTTTATCTTTGCCTACGTATATGACTGTATATGACTGCCTGTTATTTCCTTTGCTACACTAATCCCAAAAGCAGTGGCATGCTTCTTGAATGCTAACAATGTGATCAACCTGAGGTCTATTTTATTCATAAAGATAGAAGCGAGCAGCTAGGTAACTGAAGGCTGATAGAGCTGCCAGGTACGAAGAAGTTTTTGTTCATGTTTCTGATTTCTTGTTAGCATATGCCTTACCGCATTCTTTTGTCTTTGGTTTGGTGCCTGTGTATGTAGTTGTAGTAACATGTTTGCTGTTGAACTTCCCTTTGAAAAATACGATTATCTGCTGCTGCTGCTGCTCTTGCTTTCATGACAAGTTCATGTTGTGTAGCTGTTCCAGAAACTTAGTTGCTCAATCGAATGAATCTGTAAGACTGTAACAGAACCATAAATAGCCAATTTAGGATTAGTTTAAATCCCCTAAGTAATTCATAATGCTCTGGCAATTTGGGTAATAGGCCTTTTCATATCCAGCAGCATTAAATCACATGAAGCTCAGTCATAAGTTTGTAAAAGAAACATGAAGAAATCATAGCAGCATTAAATTGATGAAAATTCAAGTAGAGCAGTAAACACGAGCAGGAAACAGAACAATAATTCAAAATCAAACACTCCATAAAGAAGGTTCACCAAAACACAACTTATTTAATCATAATGATAACAAAACTTCACACTGCAACTTGAGAGGTGCAACTCTGATTCCTTTGAATGTTTAAAAAGTGAACTAGAAAGAAGCAAACAATCCTGAAATTGTAAATGGGTGTTATACATAGGATACCTCAATGTTCATATCAAGTCAGTTGATTCCCAAACCTTATACCCCTTCCCTTCATACTTGTCTGAAAACTTTATACTAAAAATCCACAAAACTGAAAATACCAATCAATAAAAAAAAATCATATGAACAATAATTAAATGGAAGAAAATCAAATTGCCAGATACATCATTTAACTGTCACATTGTTGTATAGAATCTAAAAGCTCCTTAGAGCTTAGGCATGCAAAAGAAATGTAATGCTACCAGATTCGATACAGTTCTTTGCTACCTATAAACTGCTACATCCCCAAGCGTCACTTCAGGTCAGTGACTTTTCAAGTTATTGTAAAGTGATGTCTTGAGATTTCATAGAAGCCATTTCAACAACTTTGAAAAGGCTAAAAACCACATACATACTCTAGAAAACAGAAATTTCCAAAGCCTCTGATCAAGCTTATGTACCTATATATCTCTACTTTTATGTATTATCTGTAAAAGGAAAGACTCGGTACAACTTGATTTGCTCTTAAGGACATATTCAGACTAATTTCAATTACTCAGTTTCAGCCCCATCAGCTGGCTCTTCCTCTTCTAGAGATACTGGCCTTGTACCACCACTGTACTGATGAACCACCAATACAGAAGCATTTGTTGAGATCTCTTGAGAAACCAGCAAACTCCCAGCTGGGCCTATTTCAGGGTACTCAATCTTTATATTAAGTTCGAAAGCAGCAGCCACCATACCTTCTGGTGATCGTCCCACTAAGACCATATTACAACGGCTGAATTCCTTGACTATATTTACAGTATCAGAAGTTGCTTTCACTATTCTTTCCTTGAACTTAACTGACCCGTCCCCGGACACTTTTTGCTTAATACTTTCAATGGCATTTTCATCAGCTTCCCTGGATTCTCCATTGTTACTACTACTATCACTCACATCAATAGCCACCCTTTCAGCTCCTTCCAAGTCGGGGTCTGCTCTTAAATGCACCACTATAAGGGTGATTCCCGGGTGCTCAGACATCCGTTGACCAAGGGCTAACGCCTCACGATCGTCAGGCCCACCAAAGAAATAAACAGTGATGATAGAGTCGACATTGCTGGCTGACACATGTGAGGACCCACCAAGCCCCCGGTCAACTAGGATACCAACCGAGCAAGGAGCATTTTGAAGGACCTTTTTGTTGATTATTCTATATTCATGTCTTGTGGTTTCTAATGAACCATCAACCTTCTGGTGTTTGTGGAAGGGAAGGATAATGAGGGCAGCCTTCTTGCTCTCAGCACTAGCACATATATCTTCATGCATGTTGAAGAAGTGAGAGATTGCCGTCATAGGCCTGATTTGCACCCGACTGAGCTGCCCATATGCCTCAAAGGCCACCACAACTTGATCCGAATCTGGCTGCATCCCCTTATTCCAGAAGGGAAGCCCATTATTTCGGGCTTTATTGACCATCCGTATTGCTGAAGACCTCTCAGAGAGCTCCATGAGATGCACCGCGTAGACCGTGAGCCCTTTCCTTTTCTCTGTTCCCCGGGAAGCTTCAATTAGGTTTATCATAGTAGGGATGTTCCTTCCACTATGGAAGCATGCCATGATTCGGAGTTGAGAGTTGGGATCTTTTCTTTGGATTGTCCTTAGATTATACGTGCTTCCTCTCTTAGCTGGTGTATACACTGCCCTCACAATTGGTGTTGTCATGAACGTGGTGACTAGGGCCATCATAACCATTATTGAAAAAGTTTGGTCATTTAGCACCTACAGGTATCAACGAGAAGTTAGATAAAGGGCTTTCAAGTAGAAAAACAAATATTGAAAGATTTAAAACTAATACTTGGGCCCTTTTATCTTCACATTCTTCAAATAATATTTTTAATAAATAATTTAAGGTCAGTAAAAATAATTTAAGTTCAACAAAAATAAGTTTATTTCAATAAAAATAATTTTAATCGATAAAAAAAATTTAACTCTAAAGAACACATATAAAAGAGAACTAGTAAATTAATCAGTAAAAATAATTTAAGTTAAATAATATTAATTGAAGTTCTGTAAATTTTAATTTCAGATTAGTGAAAATAAGCTGGACAGAATAAGGCCTTACAAGTCAAAAATAAAATGATACGAGTACCTTTCGATCTTTACCAATGTTTAGAACAATCAGCTCCACCAGACCTTTGCTGTTCATTAGAACCCCAAGAGCAACAGCCTCATTCAAAGGCAATTTACAGAGACGAGAAACCACTACAGTCCCAACAACTTTGCCTAAGCATGCAGTTAGTATAACAAGAAGTAGAAGTCCCCATGACTGAGCCCCTTGAATGGTGGCTACATTTGTTTTGAGGCCACTCGAAGCAAAGTACAAAGGAAGGAGGAGACCAGACACAAGATCCTCCACCTTTTCTACCATGGCACTGGCTAACGGCCCATCCTTTGGGGCTAGAGTTCCAATTATAAAAGCCCCAAAAAGTGCATGGATTCCTATAGTGTCAGTCACAAATCCAGCTGCCAAAACTGTGGCTAAGATACCACAAATGAAAATTTCATTCACAGGCTCACCATCAGGGCAATGCCGAGTCAACCACTTAAATATACGAGGGACTATAAGAATACACATGCCAACAAAAGCTGCACCACACAAAAATACCCATAGGGAAATAAGAGGAGATTTTCCTGAGCCAGAGAGAGCTATGGCTACAGCAAGGAGAATCCAAGCTGCCACATCATTGACTGCAGCAGCTGACATGGCCGTACGACCCACATCAGTGGTAAGTAGCTTGAACTCAGCTAAGATACGGGCTAATACAGGAAGGGCAGTGATAGAGAGAGCAACCCCCATGAATACTATAAAAGGACCTAGGCTGACACCTTTCGAAATAGTTGCCCTGAGGACAAGTGATGCACCAATTCCCAAAGCAAAGGGCAAACAAATGCCTGCAACAGCAATGCACATGGATTTCTTCCCTGTCCTGCGTAATGCTTTCGGATCCAATTCTAAGCCTACAAGGAACAGAAAGAAGATGAGGCCGATATTTGCAAGTGTGTCCAGTACTGGCAGACTCTTGGGAGGGAATACGGTATGCAGGAACACCTCGCTACGACCAAAAGCAGATGGGCCTAGTAGCACTCCTCCCTGTTAAAACAAGTGAACCATGACATTAAAGTCTCATTCTCAGCTGAAGAGTATAGTACATTAAAAATCCTCCACTTAAGCCCAGTTCTAATCAGTATATATCAGTTTGATCGATTAAAATCAATAACTCAAATACGTAAAATACAAGCTTATTAATTTAAGTCGGTATGTATCAGTCTACATCTAAAAAATAAACTCTGTATGGCATTAGGAATTCATCAACCAGTTTTAAGCATAAACAAACTATACGTCCGAAGCATTATCCCTCTACATCTGAACTAACATGGATCACAACCGCTACAAACTTCCAAAGTGAAGCAGTTCAGAAATAATGAAACAGTTAAGAATTCATATTCATCATTTGAAGGTTTAAGTTGCAATTCGGAAAGAACTACATATCCAATAAAAGGATTAAAAAGGTAGGATGATGCAGTAGAAGTCTTGTTACAAAAACATAATCCCAAAAAAAAAAAAAAAGGTACTCCGTATTCTTTGTGTGAAAATCTAATATTTTTTGATTGATTATCAGTTGTACAGTTTCAGGCACCTAATTTAGGCAAAACATCATTTTGTACACCTTCAGTCTTATTTCACAATCATTATGCATAACACTAACACATTAAGTTCAAACTAAGCTTCCTGGTACTGAATCATTGGTATCTTCTGGTAAAAAGCAATGACCTTCAGCATTTACAAGTCTAGGAACCTAATTTCTGCGAGTAATCTTACATTTTCCCTTAAAATCTTGTAATTGTTTCACTGTTTCACATAGCTATCGAATGTTTGCCATAGCTTGAGTCCTTCATTACGTATCCAATTTTTAGTTATTTGAGTTCGTGCTTTCTACTTTCCTCAACTTCCTGTGCAATATTTCTGAGTAGACTGATTGCTAAGATAAAAAACAGTGCCCTTGCAATCGTGTATAAATGATTCTTAGCAAGACAATTCATAGCATCACATAACAACAACAATGGGAAAAACACTAAAATATACACATCGGTTTCCAGGAATCAATATTGGCCGTCACTTGTATAAAAGCAACTGATTCCATTATTCAAGCTCTTGCTTAGCTCATGAATTGTAACAATGTAAAATTATTACCAACCACAAGATAAGATTCTCAGGTGCTAATATCAGGTAAAGTTGGCTAACACAAACAAAGGTACAAAGCAAACATATTAAACGTGAATATATTTTCAAATTAAGTTATTGTGAGATTATCTCTTAAAATATTTTTCCCTTATAAAATCTTATGATTAAAAAAAAAAAAAGAATCAATGCTAAACTATTCAATTTCCACACACTTTATAGTAAATTATAATTTCCAACAAGGTTTCAATTGCCAAAAATAGCAGTACTTACAATAATCTCAGCAATCACACGAGGCTGCCTTAGAGGTTTAAGCAAGTAGGCCAAGGTACGAGTGAGGACAATAACAATGATTATTTGTAAGATAACAAGGGGGAGGGCATAATCAAGAGGATTCTCTCCTTGGAAGACTCCCGTGGAGGTTGCCTGCATCGGCTTTGGACAAGTAGTATCATTGTGAGCCATGTTGTAGACAATTATGATAAGAACAACGATCAAAAACAGCAGAAGCCCTCTTTAGCACCCTGCTAATAATATGAAGAAAATGTGGTCAGCCAAAATTTCCATGCACAATCATATATACATTGAACAGGAAAGGTGGATTCAAAGCAACAATATGCACGAGAAACCAGATAATAGCTGTTAAAGCAAGAAAAGGTAGATTATAACTCTTCTCTTGAATTATACTTATCAAGTTTTAATGTCATAAAAGTCCAATACAAGCTCAAATCATGTGATTCACTGCCAACCAGATAAAAATATCATCTCTTTTCTTTTTCAGTTCACCACTTGGCATAAAACTTAGATTTCCTGTGACAGTCTGATAAAATACTTCTTACTTCCCTAGCTACTCCTATTACAGTAGTAATTTTCCTATGAAGAATTGATATTTTAACTTTCGACGTCTTACAAATGAGAAATCGCTCTCGTTAAGGCTTGCTTGAATCATTGGTGCGTTCCAAATTCAGTTCGTAGTAAAAATTGTGTATTAAAAGTACTTACAGATACATTAAAAATTTGGATTTAAGGTACCTTGCATAAATATCATCTAAGTTTCAGATATACACCTAGCATATTCTTCATATGTTTAACATTGAAAATCACATTTGTTCTGGTTTCTTTAAAGTGGATATTATTTCCTTCTGAACTTCCAAAAGCATCTGTTGCACTCTAATCTGACTGATACTTCCAAATATATAAAGGATTTTATTCTACAAAATATGAAGACATATGTGCAATTGCGATATCAGACTATCAGATAATCATGACCCTTGAATCATACAACTTGAAATACACATTAAAAAAACAAATGAAAGTTCTAATCTCTGAAACCTGTTCATTCTATGTATTCATAAGGGGCACGAAAGCACGCAGGTTTGAGTTGTAGTGCACATTGTAGGCGAAGCGAGAAAAGTGGGCGATTAGAACTTTCATTTGTCACTTGAGAAGGGGAAGGACTCCACACACAATATTCTGTTTCTATGGCAGAACACAGTGCAAGATTACAAACACTCTTAGGAGTTTCATTAAAATTCACAAGTGAAGATAGTACTAACTATTTCATAATTTTGTCATGAAATTAATTAAACGAAGGTATTATGTTTAGCAATCACAATTCACATGAATAACAACTTATTGGTGCAAGAATATAAAAAGATACATTTCATGCCAAAGTTCAAAATCCATCATTTAATTGGAGGGAGTGAAATACTCCGAAGCTGCATGATACAACTCTTTTGCTCATATATATACTTCTACAGCTTGTTGTTGTGAAAAGCCCAAGCTTCACTTCAGCTCAGTGACTTACCAGATTTTTTTTACATAAATGCCTTGATATCTTCATAAAAGTCAGTCCAACAACTTTGGAGAAGACTATAAACCAAAGAAATACTGTCGCAATTTTTATTTCTGAATTCTTTGGTTGAGATTATGGATTATCTACATATATATCTACTTTGCAGACACTGAGCAACGAGCAGAAGAATCAGTTCTTAAGGACATTACTCGGCTCAATCATTTATTCGGTTTCAGTCCCATCAGTTGGCTCGTCCATATCTATGGATACTGTCCTTGAACCACCACTGTACTGATGCATCACTAAAACTGAAGCATTTGTTGAGACATCCTGAGAGATCAAGAACCCCCCAACTGGGCCTATTTCAGGGTACTCTGCCTTTACATTGATACTGAAAGTAGCAGCCGCCATACCTTCAGGTGACCGTCCAACCAAGATCATATGACAACGGCTAAATTCCTTGATTATTTCAATAGTTTCAGAAGTTGCTTTCACTACCCTTTCTTCGTACTTAACTGACCCGTCCTTGGACAATTTTTGTTTAATAGCATCAAGGGCTTCTTCGTCAGGTGCCTTGGAGTGTTTACTGCTGCTACTACTATCACTCACATCAATAGCCACTATTTCACCTCCTTCTATGTTGGGGTCTGCCCTGAAGTGGACTACAATCAGGGTAATCCCGGGGTGCTCAGACATTCTTTGACCAAGGGCCAATGCCTCGCGATCATCAGGTCCACCAAAGAAAAATACAGTTATAGTAGAGTCGACATTGCTTGCTGACACATGCGAAGAGCCACCAAGCCCTCGGTCTACTAGGATACCAACTGAGCAAGGAGCATTTTCTAGGACCTTTTTGTTGATTACTCTATATTCATGTCTTGTGGTTTCCAATGAACCATCAACCTTCTGGTGCTTGTGGAAGGGAAGGATAATGAGTGCAGCCGTCTTGCTCTCAGCACTAGCACATATGTCTTCATGCATGTTAGAAAAGTGGGAGATTGCGGTCATTGGCCTAATTTGGACACGGCTAAGCTGTCCATACGCCTCAAAGGCCACTACAACTTGGTCTGAGTCTGACTGCACCCCCTTATTCCAGAAGGGAAGACCGTTGTTTCGAGCTTTGTGAACCATCCGAATAGCAGAAGACCTTTCAGAGAGCTCCATAAGATGCATTGCATACACTGTGAGCCCTTCTTTATTCTCTGTTCCTCGGGTTGCTTCAATTAAGTTGATCATTGTAGGGATGGTCCTTCCACTATGGAAGCATGCCATGATCCTGAGTTGAGTGCTAGGGTCTTTTCTTTGAACTGTTCTTAGCTTATACATGCGTCCTCGCTTAGCTGGTTTATACACCGCCATCACGATTGGTGTTGTCATGAATGTGGTAACTAGGGCCATCAGAACCATTATTGCAAAGGTTTGATCATTTAACACCTAAAATGATCAGCTATAAGTTAGATAAGAGTATGTAACTAGAAAACAAGCAATTAATAAGCCAAGGATAAGATGTAACAAGTACCTTTCGATCTTTGCCAATATTCAGAACAATCAGCTCCACCAAACCCTTGCTGTTCATTAAGACCCCAAGAGCAACAGCCTCACTAAGAGGCACTTTACAGAGGCGCGAAACAACAATAGTCCCAATAACCTTGCCAAAACAGGCAGTTAGTATAACAAGAAGTAAAAGTCCCCATGACTGAACCCCTTGAATGGTGGCAACATTTGTTTTAAGTCCACTCGAAGCAAAGTACAAAGGAAGGAGGAGGCCTGATACAAGATCCTCCACCTTTTCTACCAAGGCACTAGCAAATGGCCCATCCTTTGGAGCTAAAATTCCAAGAACAAATGCCCCAAAAAGTGCATGAATTCCAATAGTATCGGTCACAAATCCAGCTGCCAAAACTGCTGCTAATGTACCACAGATGTAAATTTCATCCACGGGCTCTCCATCAGGGCAATGCCTGGCTAACCATTTAAAGATGGGCGGAACTATAAGAATACACAATCCAACAAACGCGGCACCACACAAGAACACCCACAATGAAATAAGAGGAGATTTTCCGGTGCCAGAGAGAGCAATAGCAAGAGCAAGGAGAATCCAGGCTGCCACATCGTTGACTGCAGCAGCTGACATGGCCATACGGCCTACATCAGTGGTAAGGAGCTTAAGCTCAGCTAAGATACGAGCTAAGACAGGAAATGCTGTAATAGACAGCGCGACCCCCATGAATACAATGAAGGGGCCTTGGCTAACTCCTTTACATATAGTTGCCCTTAGAACAAATGATGTACCAATTCCCATACCAAAGGGCAAACAGATGCCTGCCAGAGCAATACTCATGGCTTTCTTCCCTGTTCGACGCAATGCTTTGGGATCCAATTCTAGGCCTACCAAGAACAGAAAGAAGATTAGGCCGAGATTAGCAAGTGTGTCCAATACTGGCAGACTCTTGGGAGGAAATATTGTTTGTAGGAATGCTTCGCTACGACCAAAGGCAGATGGGCCTAGTAACACTCCTCCCTGTTAAAAGCAAGAGAAACACAACATTTATCATTTATGTCTCACTTCTTTTGAAGATTAAACTTAAAACTTTTCATTTAGGCCTTTATCATCTTAGTACATGCTTTTATTCTTATAACATGAACAAATTACGCAAACTATTTATATTTCATTATTTCTTCATCCAGTCCATCTTATGTGCAGATACAGAACACAGTCAGTAAAATCACAACTTCAGAAACATCATATACTGTAAGAAGATCATCCAATACAACAAAAGAAGTCGTAAATCATTATTTTATAAGTAAAGGTCAAAATCAGAACAGAAAAACATTTCAGGTTCAGTTGAAAGTTAACCAGAATTGCAAGAAATTCCTACTTTCCAGAAAGATAGAAAAAAAAAAAAGGTAAGATGATGATGTAAAATTTACTACATCATTTATAATTCCGTCCAAATTTAAAAAATATTTGTGTAAAGGTTTAGTTTATCTTAAGCAAAGCATCTTTAGTAACGTCACCTCTTTCTTTGAACTTCTCTTGTTGCAATCATTATACAAAACACTAACATAGTAACATGTTTATTATTTTCAATATAAGTTAGTGTGTACTTTCTGTTTCAGAACTGTAGGAGGCTACTTTCTGCTGAAAATCGTATGTTGTTTGTGCTCAAGTGTTATTAGAATAATTCCCTCTTTAAACCAATCGCGTGTTCTTTTATAATAAACTAATGTTAGTGCCTAAAGACAGTTTTAGGATTACAAATGAGAGCCTCAATAATGAAAAAAACACTATCTTTAGGCTTTGATAATTTAACACTTTTCAGGGTTTAATTTTAGCCGTTACTTGAACAAAAGCAATAAGTTGTTGATTATTGCAGCACTATCTGAGATCATCAATAAACCATGACAATAGATTCTTGAGTTCGAATATTAAACAATTGCGTAACAAACACCTCAGGGTGCCAATTACAGAGAAGTGCGTAACAAACAGAACATACTTGTGTACTACACAGCCTTTTAACGAGAAATAACTCATGGATGAGACCGCCCTACACTAATTCATCGTGTGATTTATTGATACTTACCTACAAATAAAAGTTCATCCTAGTCTCATAGAACTTAACCTTTGACATTATATGCATGTACTATGATGATTCAAAACAGTCAAGAAGTACTGCTAAACTACAAATAAACACGAAAATGTAAGTTAACATAGATGAATACTTACAATAATCTCAGCAATCACACGAGGCTGCCGCAACGGCCTAAGCAAGAAAGCCAAGGTACGAGTGAGAACAATCACAAGGATTATTTGAACGATAACAAGGGGTAGAGCATAATCAAGAGGGTTCTCTCCTTGGAAGACTCCGGTTGAGGTAGCCTGCATCGGCTTTGGACAAGCAGTACCATTTTGAGCCATTTCGAGCTAGAGTTATGATCAGAACAAAGAACAGAAACTGCTTAATCCCTTTAAAATGCCCTGTTTATACGTGTAAAAACTCGTTAGCCAAACTTTCCATGCTCAATAATAATCCTAGAAACATTGAACAAGCAATTTATACTCTTTTAACTCGATCTTGATTATATAATATGCTTATAGAATTCCAAGAAATATGCAAAGAAAATCCTCAAAGCAAGATTATGCACGAGAAACCAGATAGTTAGTTGTTAATACAAGAAAAGGTAGATAAATGATGACTCATCTTCTCAGGTGTTATGATTTATATAGTTTAAGTGTGTACATAAAAGTCCACTACAAGCTAAAAAACATGTGATCACAGCTAACAAGTTAGCTTAAAACTATCTTCTTTTATCTCTCCTTTTTTCACCACTAGCCATAATATTTGCATTTCCTGTGACATACTAATGCAGTTGGGTGATGCTTAATCACAAGTCAAACACAATAACACGGTGGTTTTTCGTAAAATTCGCCTACCAAATTTGCCTAATTTACATAATCACATTGTTATGTACAAGTTATTGATTCATTAGTTATTGCATTGATATTAAATTATGACTATTATTATGTTGATGATGTCATGTGAAATGGAGGGAGTATAAAACGAGTCATAAAAAGCCCGTGACACAATATGGGCCACGTGTCATGTTGTGTTGGGCTCACTGCTCATGTCGTGTTTATTTTTTTGGTAAGAAGAAGGGGGCTCATTTCCTCAAATGAATCCCATGAGGCTTGATTCCTAGACTTTAGAAATATGAGGTAGGAGCGATGTCACTACTCCATCACCTCAACCTCATGTCGTGTTTACACAACCCATATTGTGAAATGAACTATAAGGAGAAACAAATTTCAAATACATCAAGCATACAACAATGGAATATGGTAATCATCTAATTTGTGTAATTTAAGTTATTTTGTTCAAATGTTAAAAGTAAAATCATATATGAGACAATCTTAGCAATTATTAAATTTTAACGTATCACAAGAAATTAACGTGAGATCATATTAAGAATCTCAACCAAAACTTACTCGAATTACTTGTGCATTATTTCCTTATAAAGATAAAAGTCCTATGATGATTTTGAAATCAAGATACCTGTCGCAAACATAAACTACAGTCAAATAATAACACCTAGTATATTTTTAACAATAAAATAAGCTTATAATAAAATAAAATAGTGGAAATAAAATCCTTCTTAAGTTACAAGAAAGTTGTCCAGATTCATACTAATGGTGCACTGTAATCAAATATCAAACTACAAAAGCGTACGTGCTATCCATCAGCTACTTATGATCCGTGAGTTGACCAAATTGAAATTGACTTTATTGCTAAAAAACAAAACAAGATTCTAATCTCTTAATTGTTATCATTTTTTATTTGGAAAATAAAAGTATCACTAAATTCTACAGTAATAAGGAAATTTCTGACAAGTTGATTATTCCCCACATTTAAGGAAAGATTAGAAAATGAATTATCTAACTCATTCCCATGAGATTGAGATGAGGCCATGATACCCCCATATTTTTTTTAAAATTTAAATATTCGTTTTGCACTATTTATATACAAAGTACTTTTTTTTTTAATAAGGTAAAATATTTACACGTCTACAGTTAATTTTGGATCTTGGCCGAAAATATTAGAGAGGTCGGAATTTAAAAAGTTTACCTCTTACTCAAAACTAATCTTTTTACCCCAATACTTTATAAGTAAATAAAGGTTATTTAAGTTCATTGACTAATTAATTACAATAATTTACGGGGGGCCTGATCCCGAATGACCCCGGTGAAAGGTCCTCCTCTGCCTAAGTGCTAGCTAGTCTTACAAAAATTTATCAAAATACGAAATATAGTCGAATAAGTTAATTAATTACTCGAATTAACTACAAAATTAATATGGAGTAGTAACTTTTTTGTTTATATAAAAAAGTCCTTAAAGGAGTAAATCTAAAAGATAGCCAAGGGCATAATCGTCAATTTAACTCTAACATTAACGCCATCAAGACGTGAACAACAGCCCTATGCATGATAAGCGATTAACAAGTGTATATAAACCACCTACACGCTGAAATGCTGAATTCTTCCTTCACTATCGAGCTACTAAAATGTCAATAATACCCTCCAACAACCAAATGTGTTCTTATGTTATTTTTACCATATTATCGCAAAATTTTCATTTAGGGATATATAATGAGACGTCACAACCTAAATTTGCAACTTTGGGGTATTATTTGTGAGACATAAAATATTCCAAAGTTGCAAATAAAAGTTAATTGAGGTAGTACAAATACAACGATTCGAATACAATAGTCGACATGCTTCATTTTTAACCATTTCCAAATTTAAGAATATCACAAGATAAAATAATGTATTGCATGAGGAATTATTCAATGTTAAGTAAAGAAGAGAGAATGAAAGTAAACCTGAAGATCGATTATATTGCTGTAATCCAAATTGTGCGCTTTTCTACGATATAATCTTGTGGTTTTTTTTTTTTTTTGGTTTAAAGATTTCTTAACTATTTATTTATTTATACAATTCTTTGAATTTAAATGAGAGGAAAACAAAAAAAGAAACAAAAGAGAGAGTAGAAGATGACGAACAAACAACAACTTAAATTATGAAAAACAAACAAAGTTCCGTTTAAATAGAACCGCGTATTATGCAAAAAGACTGTTTTGCCCTCTGTGACAGGCTATAATACCATCTTTAGAAACTTCATAAATCTAGCTAAGTACTTGGAGTAATTATTTATTTTATTGTGATTGACGAAATTACCCCTATAAGTGGGACTTTGATCTCCGAGGTTTTGGCAAAGGTTATTTGGTTTTTGACAACTATGTGGCTTTCATTATTTAACTATTTTAAGTAATTAAACAATAATTAAGCAAATTAAGTTTGCTTTCTTTGTGCTTTTTTGGCCTATTTTTACTCATCTTAGTACTAATTTATTTTGCAGGTTGCAACTGCTAGTACTACCTAGTAATTTAGGAGTATAATTTTATGAAATTATGTGTGTAATATTCTCCATATATAGTAAGAGATTAATAATGTTTAGAAGTGGTTCAATATTTTAAACCTAGATGTGGAAGTGGCCAATTATATAATCTATATTAAATTATTTCTCCAATTTGTTCTTTCAATTACAATTATGTATGATAATAAGCACAATTCTCGGGGGTTTTTTTTTTTTTTTTTTTAAATAACTATGATTGAACATATTTTATTTTATTTTTAGTTGGGTACTGATCAGTCGAAAGCTTGAAATCATATGAATAACTCATATGTACTATGAGCATAAGTGGGCATTCGATTCAGAAAATATACTATTATTAAGATCAAGAGGGAATAGGTGCAACGAGCAAATGATATTGCAAGGAAATATCGTTGTACTCTCTCTAATTTAGAGCTTTAGTTGTTTTTTTTTTGTTAATTTGCTGTTGTAAAAAAAAAAAAAAAAAAAAAAAAAAAAAAAAACATGTTGGAGATTTAGAATAGATACTCATACGGATGTGTCTAGCTAATGAGGAAAACTATACTTTTAGGAGGTTATAGGATCGATTCTCATTATCCGTTTATGTGGCTCATTTTCTAAACAGGTTTGCTGATCGATTCTCATTATCCGTTTATGTGTGTTCTCATGTGAGATTTTTAAGATTTGCTCTAATCAACTCTAAATGAATATAGTCTGATTTGATTTGAACCATCCCCTATTTCTTTAGTACTTTGCTTGACTAAGGTCCAGTACTATTTAGTTCACCTGATTTTTGCTAATCTGATCTGGTCTGGTCTAATTTGATCTTATTATCTGATTTGACAAATCTTTGATCTGTATAATAGTCTGTAAGGTAAAAATATATGACGTGAGATTTTGTTAGATACGTAATAATGTGTTTATTAATATGTAATTTTCAAAAAAATATCATTACGAAATTAAAGATTTTAGCGATAAAAAATTGCACATAAAACAATGATCTAATCTGAACTTATTTTTCCTGATCTGATATGATCTAAACTTATTTCTTCTAAAATGAGTAAAAATAAGGTGAACTAAACAAGGCCTAAAGCTGTACATATGCTAATGGAAGAACATAATAAGTGATGTCTTGTTAAAATTTACCATTAAATTGACAATGATAAATATCTATGCTTAGATTAACATAACGTAGCCGAAACCTACTCCGTCCTTGATTTCTCTTAGATCTTGGAAATTAATGATTAATTAAAAAAGAACTTACAAATAAGTGGTTATAAATTATTATTATTATTATTATTATTATTATTATTATTATTATTATTATTATTATTATTATTATTATTATAATTACTATTCAAAAAGAATACTCATTATGGTCATGTTTGGTAATTGGCTTTTTAATGGATTTTTGGTTAGCTTTTGGCTTTTGACTTTTTTAAGTGGTCAAACAGCCAAAAAATGTGTTTGGTAATTGGCTTTTTAGTCAGCGAAAAAGCTGGCTTTTAAGCCAAAATGAAAAAGCTGCTTTTAGTAGCTTTTTTGTTGGCTTTTGGCTTGTTGGCCCACAAATTATCTAATAAACAGCCAACAACCAACAATTAATTTACCAAACACTTTTACAAACAGACAACTTAAACAACCAATTTCAAAAGCCATTATAAACAGCCAAACATTCCAGCTGGTCAAACAAGCCAAGTGAACCAGCCAACAACAAACCGCCAACAGTCATTTGCCAAACAAGGCCTTTTTCATTTATATTTCCAGAATAAACTGCAACAAAGGGTTTCCAGAAGGAGCAGGTTATTATGAGTTCATCCTTTCTTTTCCGGCGGTTTAATACTTAGCTTCTACAGTATTATTTTGTGTGTTTTGACTAGTTTTGTTTATTTTATTTTTATTTATTATTCGATAAACAAGTTATGATAACTTCAAATACGATAACTTTAATAAAATAAGTTCAAATAAAGGTTAATAAGTTTAAATGTTAAATTAATAATAAAATAAGTTTAGATAAATAGATATAAGAGTGTTATATTTTTCAGATTATTAATAAACTTATTTTAGTTATAATTTTTAGTTGGATAACATTTATCATAACTTATTATTTCGAACTGAACTTATCTGAATTTATTACAGTTGAACAAAGTAAAACATGCCCTAATCAAGTAAGTAAAATTAAACAATAGACAACAATGATGTTGGGTAGATCTCAAATCATGGGTATGTATCACCCCAAAGGCCCCAATATATGCATAATGTAAATTAATGTTTGCAATCTCTATTATAATCTATAAATCTAATATGATCACCATTTTTTCCTCCCATTTATTTATATTTAAAAATATGATGCATTGGTCTCTACAACAAATGCATGCATGTTATTCCAATAAAATAGGAAGAAATTGAACCATAGAGTTTAAGTCTTGGTCTATGTATGCCTAAATGAGGTGTCATATCCCATTCCAAAAAAAAAAAAAAAAAGAAGAAAAAGAAAAATAAGGAGGTTTCATATTGTGAAAATTGTAGGTAAGAAAAAATATAATCATATTTTTAAATTTATCTCAATGTTTATATTTTTTTTAATCAAATAATTTGATATATTTAAAATTAAACATGTGTATTGTTATGCATAAATAACTACAGTACTCCGTAGATTATAAAATAAGCAAGTCTTTTTAGTTTGTTCTATCACATATATACATGTCTACACGCTTTCAAAGAGAGTTGATTCAAATGGGAAAAAATGTTGGTTGTTTTTGGTGCAAAGGGAATAGGGAAAAAAACGTTAGTGGGCGATGGATAAATTTGTACTCTTAAGTCTTAAGAGCTCATTTAATTTATGACTAATCAAATTTGTACTCTTAAGTTACATTACAAATTTAATGTTTCCTCCTATTTTGGTGCTAAATTAATTCACACATGTTTATTTATATATGAACATATTTACGTAGCCACGTGTAAAACCTGGAGTCTCGGATAAGGCTTATTTCATATGCATGTGAGAAGCATATAAATGAACATATATAATCAAAAGTATAGGACGATTATGAAGGTAAGTAGTTAAATGAAAATGAATATTTATTGTATATATGTTAATATATAGGAAGATATATTCTCTAAGCAATATAATCAATAGTTTAATTATTACCAAATAGAATATGTTATTATTATAAAAAGTTCTTATTTTCTAAAATGCAACTTGATAAATTTATAAAACTTGTCACGGCTAGAACTTTCCCAATATCATAGATTTAAAGTGTGTTTCGTATTTACTACCTTTGTTACAGGTTATGTGCAATGATTAAACATTTTTTCTCTCTACTTTATGTCAAATCGTTGCACATAACCTGTAACGAACATAGTATTTAAAATATACATTAAATAACAATATTAAAAAGGGACCAAGAGAGGAATTATGAACCACATACATTTGCAATAAGAAGACATAAGGCCCATGACATTGAACACTAAATATTGTGAGAAGAATATTGGCTTAAGCATCATTGATGTTATACTGACTTTACGACTTGTTTGGTACTCGTAGTTGGTTATCAACAGTGGTTATGACAGTTTTTTTTTTTTTTTTTTTTTTTTTTTTTTTTGACAATGAGAACATCATAAATAAAGGCAAATTACAACCTAAGAGATCTAAAACAAGAAATTAAAAACAACAAAACCCACTTAACTAAACCAGTAGAGGGATAGAGAAATGAATGAATACACCCATGTGCATCATACCAAACATCTCGGAGCCCAGATAACCAAAAGGTTCTTACCAAAACCTTGTATCTATCCTTCTCCAAGGTTGTGGTTATGACAGTTAATTTACATGTGAAATGGCTAACAAAGTAACATCTTTATATTCATAGTTTTGCAATATAAATGGCCACTATTATCATCCAATACCACTCCCTGTTATCTAGTAATGCATGAAAATGAAGATTTGTGAAGAAAAATAGAGAATCTCAAAATCATATCCATAAATTTATCTTACGACATACTTCCTCCGTTTCTATTTAGTTGACGCGTTTGATTTAGGCACATATATTAAGGAGAGGAGAGAGAAAATGAAAAAATAAGTGGGGTACCTTGTAAATGCAAGGTAAAAAATTTACCCAAAAAAGGAAACGTGTCAACTAAAAAAAACTTCCTAACAAGAAATACGTGTCAACTAAAAAAACGGAGGTGGTACAAATTTATATATCAATCGACAATCTCATTAATACCATTTCTTTGCACATACCAAAAAAATTCTATATAATTAATTACTATCTTCGTCAGTTTTTTAATTATTTGCAACATTAGATATTTTCTAAAAAATGTCAAATCGCTGCAAATAATAAGAAACAGATTTAGGTCCTGTTCTCTTCCGTTAAAATTCATTTCAGTTCAGTTCAGTTCAGCTCAGCTTGGTTCAGTTCAGTTCAGTTAAGTTCAGTTCAGTCCAGCTCTTAATTTACGTCTAATGATATTGCTAATGATATAAAGCCAAATTTCATTCTTTTAAGCTCTTATTACAACAACAACAACAACAACAACAACAACAACAACAACAACAACAACAACAACAACAACAACAACAACAACAACAACAACAACAACAACAACAACAACAACAACAATAATAATAATAATAATAAAAATAATAATAATAATAATAATAATCAATAATAATAATAATAATAATAATCAATAAATAATAATAATAACAATAACAATAATAATTGAAATAATAATACTAATAATAATAATCAATAAATAATAATAATAATAATCATCAATAAATAATAATAATAACAATAATAATAATAATAATAATAATCAATAAATAATAATAATAATAATCAATAATTAATAATAATCATAATAATAATAATATTAATAATAATATGTACATTTGTATATACACATATGTATAGTAATAAATAATCAATAAATAATCAAAGATCACTAAGGGCATGTTCTCTTCCGTTGAAATTCAGTTCAGTGCAGTTTAGTTCAGCTCTTAATTTACGTCTAATGATATTGCTAATGATATAAAGCCAAATTTCATTCTTTTAAGCTCTTATTACAACGACAACAACAACAACAACAACAACAACAACAACAACAACAACAATAATAACAATAATAATATTAACAACAATAATAATAATAATAATAATCAATAAGTAATAAATAATAATAATAATAATCATCAATAAATAATAATAATAATAATAATAATAACAATAATAATTGAAATAATAATACTAATAATAATAATCAATAAATAATAATAATAATCATCAATAAATAATAATAATAATCATCAATAATTAATAATAATAATAATGTTATTATTATTATTATTATTATTATTATGTACATTTGTATATACACATATGTATAGTAATAAATAATCAATAAATAATCAAAGATCACTAATCCGAATTTAAAAATCACTAATTAATAAGTTCAGTTCAGTTCAGTTTAGTTCAGCTGAGTTCAATCAATCGGAACAGGCCCTAATCCGTAGTTAAAAATCACTAATTAATAAGTTCAGTTCAGTTCAATCAATCGGAATAGGCCCTTATAGTGTTTTTCTTGGCAAGTGCGTTTTACCTCAGCAAATAGACAATTCAAAGTTTTTTCTGCAGACTTTTTTCTCCACATTTTCTGGTAATCAAGAGGTACATCAGTTGAGCCAAAGAACAAGTAACAAGTGTCACAAATATAAATAAGATAATTGGAAATAAACTTTGTGTAATTCAGCAGTTAGACACATCATATAATATGCAATGTGTTCATACTGAATTTTCCAGTAATTTCTTCTTTAAATCATACCGATATGAATGGTTGTTATTTTGCAATTACAATTTGCAACAGTAGTGTATACTTTCTCTTGGACTGTAGATATTCGCTTATTATTTGTATTTATAAGTCAAAAACTACTCAAAAGTCACCTGAAATAGTCCCAATTTTATTTTGTGGGTAGACTTCGTATTGATTGAGATGTACAGGAATCAAATGTGTGATAATTAAATTGGGACGAAGGCACTAATGTTCAAAAGGTGAAAAGGATATCCAATGTCATAGCATGCACGGAAATTTAATTACTCCTTCAATTCCATAGTCTCTTATGGACAACTTTTAGTCCCTAAATGTTCACTTTATTTGCTTTTTCCAGCAACTATTAATATTAATTTTTTTATCAAAATTCTCTTCAATTTGCAACAATATTTGTGCAAATTTAACTTTTTCATGTAAATTTTGTTTTCCCATTTACTTTTATTACTCTCTCTCTACTTTTTTACATATCCAATTTCAATTTATTTTTTTAATATACTTTAACTATTCTTTTTTGTGTTTATTAATTCCCGTGAAAAATGTCCATAATGGACTATCAAAAGAAGACAGAGGGAGTATAAATTCTTAAAGAGATCGGTAATTAGTTGGAACTATTGAACTAGTTTGTGTTTTGGACGATGCCCCAAATTGCTAGTTTGTATTTTGTACTTCTTTAATGTGATAATTATGTTCAACTATTTGTATAGCTAGTGTATGATCTAGGCGTTGCGTCGGATAATTTTTTTTTTTTTTAACCTCATATGTATTTATTTTTTAATCTTATAAACAATAAATTAAATGACCTCTAATCTAAAAGAAATATATAATGTTAATGGTGTGAAATTTTAAACTAATAAAAGTTGGTTGAGAACTTGAGATGGTAAGTGTATAACTTTTATTGGTTAGTGGTTGCGGGTTCGAATTTAGATCAATCAATGGTTGAATTTATGCGTTAATAAACATAATAAAATTAAAATTAAAAAAAAAAAAAAAAAGAAAGTATTGTACTGTAATAAACAAGGTAAAGCCGTTACAAACTTTAAGTAGCAATTTTTCCTCCGAATCTACTTGCATAGTTGCATATTAATCCTAACTTCCTAAGTGAACTCAAATAATTAGGGCATGTTCACTTTAGCTTTAGTTCGGTTCAATTCAGTTTAATTCAGCTCCTAATTTCCTTTTCTCATAAAATATTCACTTCAGTTCGGTTCAATTCAGTTCAGTTCAACTCCTAATTTCCTTTTCTCATAAAATATTCACTCCATCTCAGTTCAGTTCAGTTCAGTTCAGTTCGGTTCATCTCAGCTTAGTAAATGTGAACACGCTTTTTAGGATAAATTTGATATCAAAATAAAACAAGAAAAATAGAGTATACTACCTCCGATTTTTTTTTCTTTTTCAGTTGTAACTTTAGAATATTTTATATCTTACAAATAATACGTCAAAGTTGCAACTAAAAAATCGGAGGTACACAGGTACTTTGTAGAACATTATTTGTGAACATTTTTCCATAAATCACTTTAATAAATGACATTTTTCTTGTCAACTACAATATGTCACATGTTGGTTACTTTGCGAGAAACTATTGTTTTAGGGTGGCAAAGTTTATTACTTTCTAGTTTATTACTTCGTATGTTTCATTTATAAGAGGAATCAATTAAGTTGAGCAAAAGATTCCTCGGCCCCTAACTTTAAGTAGCTAAACTTCTAATAATACCAAATCACACTCAAATTTGAACTAGGTTATTGTTACTTTTCCATCCACCTTCATCATTAATCATTACACCAAATGTAATTATGTTGTTTAATGTTTCATTAATTATATACTTGTAATTGGAAAGGGAAAAGGAAAGGGTAATGACTACTTATGACCAAAAGCAACGGCCATTTTTTTAATGGAGTAGTATGCAATTGAACATTAGACAAATGGGCAAATTGGTTCGCCGAGGGAAAAATTAAGTGACCAATTCTCATAGATATTAAAAGAGTGTCCTAAAAAAGTTTTGAGCTTGGATGTAGTTGGAAATCTCACTTAGGTCGGCCATGTTTTTTATTTTTAAAAAATTAATACTCACTCAATCCTTAAAAGACGATGTAAGAAAATCCTTAAAAAATTCAATGTAATGAATATTCTAAGCACAACAGCTATAAAACAGCTCAATATGGATTAGTCAATAGTCATAGACTCTGAAAATCATTTGCTATGGAACTTAACTTCAATTTATCAGTATTTGAATAACAGATTTTCTCATTCAGCATTATAAGACTATCTATTTATACTTCTCTGACTGTGATCCTTTGGACATAAGTCTGACTAAACTCGATTAATCACTTTCAGTTTCGTAAGTTGCCTCTTCTGCCTCCTCGAGGGATACTGGCTTTGAATCGCCTTTGAATTGATTAATCACCAAAACAGAAGCATTTGTTGAGATCTCTTGAGAGGTCAACAATGCACCAACTGGACCTAATTCAGGGGAGTTTCGCTTTACAGTAAGACCCAAAGTTGCAGCAACCAAGCCTTCTGGTGATCTTCCTACCAAAACCATTGTACAACGGCTACATTCCTTGATTATGCTGACAGTATCAGAATTTTCTGTTACTACTCTTTCCTCGTACCTGACTGAACCACCATCGGACACTTTTTGCTTAACAGCATTGATGGCCTCTTCGTCAGATGCCCTTGAGTCACCCTTGTTTCCGGTGCTACTACTATCAATAATATCGAGTGCCACTATTTCACCTTTCCCCATGTTTTGGTCTGCTCTGAAGTGGACTATCCTCAGGGTAATCCCAGGATGCTCTGACATCCGTAGACCCAGAGCCAATGCTTCACGGTCATCAGGTCCGCCAAAAAAATAAACACTGATGGTGGAGTCAACATTGCTTGCTGCTACATGGGAAGATCCACCAAACCCGCGATCTACTAGAATACCAACTGAGCAAGGAGCATGTTGGAGCACCTTCTTGTTCACCAATCTATACTCCTGTCGTGTGGCTTCTAATGATCCGTCAACCCTTTGGTGTTTGTGGAAGGGAAGGATAACGAGAGCAGTCCTTTTGTTCTCAGCACTAGCACATATGTCTTCATGCATGTCAGGGAAGTGAGAGATAGCTGTCATGGGCCTGATTTGAACCCGGCTGAGCTGCCCATATGCCTCAAAAGCCACCTCAACTTGGTTTGAGTCTGACTTCATTGTCTTATTCCAGAAGGGAAGCCCATTATTCCTGGCTTTGTGAATCATTCGAATTGCAGAAGATCTTTCAGAAAGCTCCATGAGATGCATCGCGTAGACTGTGAGCCCTTGCTTCTTCTCTGTTCCTCTCAAAGCTTCAATCAAGTTTATCATTGTTGGAATGTTCCCTCCGCTGTGGAAACATGCCATAATTCGGAGTTGGGAACTGGAGTCTTTTCTTTGGACTGTCCTCAGCTTATAAGCGCGTCTTCTCTTAGCTGGTTTATACACTGCTGTCACAATTGGTGTTGTCATGAAAGTGGTGACTAGGGCCATAAGAACCATTATTGCAAAAGTTTGATCATTCAACACCTAAAAGGATCAAGTAAAGAGTTAGATAAAAAAAATTACTATAAGATAAGCAATTATAACTAATACTGGTTTAAGTTATTAGTACCTTTCGATCTTTACCAATATTCAGGACAATCAACTCCACCAAACCTTTGCTGTTCATTAAAAACCCAAGAGCAATAGCCTCGTTGACAGGTATTTTACAGAGGCGAGATACAATATAAGTCCCAACAACCTTGCCAAAACAGGCAGTTAGTATAACAAGCATTAGTAGCCCCCATGACTGAGCCCCTTGAATGGTGGCCACATTTGTTTTAAGACCACTCGAAACAAAGTACAGAGGAAGCAGGAGGCCAGACACAAGATCCTCAACCTTTTCTATCAAGGCATTGGCAAGAGGCCCTTCCTTCGGCGCTAGAATCCCAAGAACAAATGCACCGAAAAGGGCATGGATTCCAATAGTATCGGTCACAAAACCAGCAGCCAAGACTGCAGCTAATGTGGCACAAATGAAAAGCTCATCCACTGGCTCACCATCAGGGCAATGCCGATTCATCCACTTAAAGATGTGAGGGACTATAAGAATGCACAAACAAACAAAAGCTACACCGCACAAAAATACCCACAAGGTAATAAGAGGAGATTTGCCTGAGCTTGAAAGAGCAATGGCTAGAGCAAGGAGAATCCAGGCTGCCACATCATTTACTGCAGCTGCTGACATAGCCATACGTCCCACATCAGTGGTTAGGAGCTTAAGCTCAGCTAAGATACGAGCTAAGACAGGAAATGCTGTGATAGAGAGGGCAACCCCCATGAATACAAGGAAGGGTCCTTGGCTTACGCCTTTTGAAATGGTTGCCCTAAGGATAAATGATGTACCGATCCCCATCACAAACGGCAATGTGATGCCTGCAAGAGCAATACTCATGGTTTTCTTTCCTGTTTGGCGTAATGCTTTTAAATCCAATTCTAAACCCACAAGGAACAGAAAGAAGATGAGCCCGAGATTGGCAAGTGTGTCCAACACTGTAAGACTCTTGGGAGGAAATACTGCATGCAGGAACTTTGTGTTACGACCAATAGCAGATGGGCCTAGTAAGATTCCTCCCTGTTAAAGCAACAGAAACAGGACATTCAAAAGTCAAAGTCGGGGTCAAGATTAAACTTGGAATAATTTTAATTTTTAGGAAATTATTATCTAATATTATTGATACATATATTTAATTCACATCTCTAGAACAAATTACATCTTCAGCAACATAATTTCTTGGTAGCTGACCCAGGTAGCACAATGGAAATGATCAATAGGTCATACATTTACATCAAAATAGTATAACAATTTAGTTCATTATATAGCTAACCTAAGTTGCAACAAACTCATACTTTGGAAAAGAAAATGTACGGGTTGGAAGATGCTAACATCTAAAGTCATTTAAATAAATATGTACTTTAAGTAAATACAATTATACTTGTAAATTTTTATCATACTTATTTCTGAATTTAATCAACTAAAGAAAGCTAAGTATTAGTTAAGCACATCACCTCATCTCTTCAGACTTATGGAGTATTCCACACAATCATTAGACAAAACAAAAACATGAATGGTTATTTATAAGAAAATAGGTAAAGGACTTCGATCACCAAATCATTTAATAGTCGGTAATAAATAATGGTAACCATAACAAATTTTCATCCCCAATCATATGTTTGAGGATGTTTTGGACTTTCTGTCAATAATTATGCAATCGCATCTAGTATTTCTTATCTAATGTAATGGAGTAAATGGACAGTTAAAACACCTAGTATAGGTTGAGTGACAATAAACTATTCATTACGCATTCATCTGTAATTACTAATTAGTTAAGTTGTGCTTTCAACTTTTCTCGAGTTCCTCAGCAATACTGCCAGATGTTAGTATAAAAAACTGCTCATGCTTTTAGCAGTTTGAGGAAGACAATTCAGAATGTTCCAATAATAGCAAAATTTAATCATAAAAGGTACTACTCTAAGCTTTGACATTTAATTGCTCTTTCTTCATTATAGTTTTATAGAGGACTTTCCGAGATTACGAGTAATTAACATGAAAAACAATTGAATAAATACAACAAAAGCCTCTCATGTGCCACAGATGCTTAACCAACAAAACTCTTTCTTCTAAAATATATATGCCTTGTACAATGTAAGGCTAATTTGGCATTCATGATAAACATGTGCATATCCAAATGTCAAACTATGATTATTTTCCATATTTTGGATCCAATCTAAAGTGTTAATACTCAAAGTATTGAGGACTAGACCAAAAAAAGTTCAAGTATAAAACGACTCAACCAATATCATCATCTAAAATCAAAAGTGTCAGCAAATAATGTTAAGCTACTCAATTCTTAGTTGATATGAAGATGTCTGCTAAGGTGAAATAGCTAAGAAATAGATACTTACAATAACCTCAGCGATCACACGAGGCTGCCTCAAAGGTCTAAGCAAGAAAGCCAAGGTACGAGTGAGGACGAGAACAAGGATTATTTGTATGATAAGAAGGGGGAGAGCAAAATCAAGAGGATTTTCTCCTTGGAAGATTCCGGTAGAGGTAGCCTGCATCGGCTTTGGACAAGCAGTAACATTTACAGCCATGTTGAGATGGAATTATGATGTGAACAAGGTACAAAACCAGCAAAATCTCTCTTTAGTGCCCTGTTTTCATGAATGTAGAACATTTTGTCAGACAAATATCCATGCACAATCATATATAAAGTGCACTTCTTAAACAAAAACTTATTTGCATTTCTAGTTAAGCAACTAAAAGGAGCCGAATTGTCTTAAATACGTATATGTTACAATGTCTACACTTTGAATTTTTGTTTACATATTACTCGTAACATTTTGAGTTTATAAGCTTCTAAAAGTCCGGGAAATTAAAAATGGAAGAAAAAAGTTCAAAGCAATACTTGTATTATGCACGAGAAACCAGATAGCAGACTAACACTTGTTAATCCAACATGATGCTATTGTTTATGCATATGAATAGTCAAAACAATGAAACATCACACAGTAATTTACCACAAATTTGTCCAATTAGAAATTCAAAATAGTCTAATAATATGAATGAATCATTGCTTTTTCTTTGAAGGATAGCATTCAATTAATCTACGTGTTACGGAGTACATGCTTAGCATTTGTTGATTGCCTTACCACATCAAGAATATTTTACACACATTGACAGCTAAGATTTCATTCACATTTCACATTTTCCATCAAAAGAAAGAAAATATTTCATTCACAGTAGAAAAATCAACTTTGCTCTCTTTCCTTTTTAAAGATTCAAAAGGCATACCTCAATACATAATCTATACCAACATAAAATAAATATACAAGTGGGTTCAAAAAAAAAAATACAAGTAGTAAATAAATAAATAAATACTCCAAAAAGTCCAATATACGAAGAGAGCTGTCTAAAACGAAAATTTTGACATTTCAAAATCAGTAGGCTTAATTTTCTTTTTCTTTTTTTTTAATTTATTTTTATATGCACTCGGGTGTACCGGCGTTAGAGGGTTAATGCACTTATAGATAAATGAGGACAATTAATTGAATGTTTAGAGTCGAGATAAATTTTCAAGTTGTTCCCAAGGCTCGAGATTAAATTTTGTAACAGTTTTTTTTTCTTTTTTTTTTTTTTTTTTTTTTGTTTACGCAAATTGATGTAAGTTTTTATCGACATTTTTTACCGCAAACATCTTTAGGATCACATTATCAAAAATATACGAATACTCCATGAAAATTTTATCAAAATATACCTATCGTTTTTTTATACCTTTTGAAAATTAAATATTCTATTATCCCAAATTTAATGAAAAAAAAAAAAAAAAAAAGTTGCACGCAATTTTAAGAAGGTCCTAAAAACATGGGATTGTATTTGTATTTATTCATTCATAACTAAGTGTAAAGTTGGATTACTCCAATATAGGCTGAAACTTATTTAAAATAATTCATGTGAAATTTAACATTCGAATTAAATAAAAAACTTGATTTTCAATGAATCAGGAAAACTTAATTATTACGGAAGAAAAATTGCAACAAAATAATAATTAAAAAAAAAAAAGTGCGACAAAAACACGTACTACATTATATAAATTCAAGCACAATTGCAAGATTATCAAAGAATTGAAAAAACAGAACAATTTCAAAGAAAAAAGAAAAAGAAAGAGACGAAAGTTTACCAGGAGAAATTGGTGATGTAATTCAATTAGCATCCATGAAAGTTGTAAATTTTTGTTTTGAAGCTTTCTGTAAAGTGTGATTAAGAGAGAGAGAGAGAGAGAGAGAGAGAGAGAGAGAGAGAGTAAAATTAAATCAAGAGTCAAACACTGAAATTAAGAAATAGAGATTCATTTATATAGAACTTGTTTATACGAAAAAGACGGTTTTGCCACTATTACCGTTTTTTTTATTTATTTCTGATGTTATCTTTTTTTGGAAATTACTCTGTATAATTATATCAGGAGTAGGACTACATGTTTATGAAATTACTCGGTAATTTTTTGTTTTGTTTTTTTTTTTTTTTTTTTGAGGGGAATTTTTATTTTATTTTATTATTATTTTTTTTAATATGAAATTACTCGGTAATTATGTAACTCTAGTCTCCAATTAGGCAATTACTCTGTGTCAAAAAAAAAAAAAAAATTAGGCAATTACTCGGTAACTACTCTGATTGGAGAATAAAAAAACGGAAATTTCACCAAATGTCACTGAGCAATTTAAAAATTTACCAAATGCCATCGGACTTTTCAGAATTCACCAAATGCCACCCAATTTTTAAAAAATTCACCCAATGCCATTAATGACCAACGGCCGTTAACTCCGTTAGTATTTAGGGGTTAATCATGACACGTGTCATGACATAATTGGACCATTTATCTTAATTCATAAAAATTAAAAAAAAAACAAAAAATAAAAAAATATCTCCAAAATTTTCCCAGCCACCCCGACCACCGCCAAACACTAACCCCTCCCCTCATCTCGCCGGAAAACGGCCGGTCACCACCGAAACCACCAACAATCGGTCGGCCGACCATGTAGCTCCCCACCTAACCCACCGCCGAACCCCAAAACCACCCACGCTGCTCGTCCTGACCCCAAAAACCACCTACACATCCGCCCCGACCCCAAAAACCACCCGTGAAAAGCCCCTCCTCCCTTTCCCCACCCTCAAAATCGGTCGTTTCGACGGTGGGAGAAGGGAGGAGGGGCTTTTTACTGGTGGTTATTAGGGTCGGGGCGGTTGTGTGGGTGGTTTTTGGGGTGGGTGATGCTCGCTCGTGTTTGCGGTTTTATGGGGTCGGGGCAGTTTGTGAGGGAGGTTTTGGGGGTCGGCGGTAGATCAGGTGGGGAGCTACATGGTCGGCCGGCCGATTGTTGGTGGTTTCGGTGGTGACCGACCGTTTTCCGGTGAGATGAGGGGAGGGTTAGGGTTTGGCGGTGGTCGGGGTGGCTGGGAAAATTTTGAGGTTTTTTTTTTTTTTATTTTTTGTTTTTTTTTTATTTTTTGTATTTTTTTTTAACCTTTTTTGTATTTTTTTTAATTTTTATGAATTAAGATAAATGGTCCAATTATGTCATGACTAACCCCTAATTACTAACGGAGTTAACGGTCGTTGGTCATTAATGGCACTGGGTGAATTTTTTAAAAACTGGGTGACATTTGGTGAATTCTGAAAAGTCCGATGGCATTTGGTAAATTTTTAAATTGCTCAGTGGCATTTGGTGAAATAGCCGTAAAAAAAAATACGAAGTAAATAAAATAAAATAAAAACACAACAATTATATTATTTCATATGGAGTACTATATATTACCATCCACATTGGATTATTTGGATGTTTTATTACAAAGTACAAACTATTAATTTTTCCTAAGCTTAAAAAGTTAAAACTACTAATGAGTTAGCGTCTTTAAATAAGTGAAATGCTAAATATCGTCGTCCAAATTTATTGTCACCGCCATCATTTCGAGCAAGCTGACAATTTTGCCCTTACTAAACCCAAACCCATTTTTCACTCTCCGCAAACATCAACCACTCACCTTTTTTACCATACAACCTCCACAACCACATATTTGGGGTTTACTGGGAAGCAATTGGCGGCGAGCTCAGGCAGTGGCGGTAGCGCGATCTGAGGCGGTGGAGGCGGCATAGACTTAGACAGCGGTGGTGCGACAACTATGGCGGAATGGGTGGAAAGGAGGTAAGTAATTTCCGATTTTTTTTTTCTTTTTTTTTTATGAAATAAGTGGCCGGTAACCGGAGGTGAAAACCGGTTGCCAACACCGGTAACCGGCGACCAAATTCGATTGACCGTAGCTGGTAATTGATTTTCACCTTCGGCTATCGGTGTAGTGGGCAACCGGTTTTCACCTTTGGTTACCAGCCACACTATATTTTAATTTTTTTAAAAGAAAATTGAGCAAATTTTGAATTAGGCTCCAATTACCGTCCATGGTAATCGGTTTTGGCCTCCGGTTACCGTGGACGGTAGCCGATTTTGACCTCCGCTTGACCATGGTAAGTGGAGCCCAAAACCGATTAACGTCCACGGTATCCGAAGGTCAACACCTGTAACCCCGGTTGACCCCTGATTCTTTTTTTATAGAGTCACCTTGATCACCATCCATTTCTCGTCGACTTTCACCGTTGTTGTGGATGTCCAGTGTAGAAGGTGGTGGTTGATACGGTTGTGGTTGATGGAATAATGGTAGAGAATGAAAATGGAAAATAAAAAAGTTAGTAAGGACAAGATTATCAATTTACTTGAAATAATGGCAGTGACGATAAATTTGAAGGTTAACACACCCTTAAATAATGAACCTTTACCAATTACCACTTATGGTATTACCGTATTAGGACTATTAGCGGTTTGTTAATTAAAAATGGTTCAATTAACATATGAAACTATTTTTACTCTAGTTAAATAAGTACTCCGTATAATATTACAAACCCCATTAGCACTTTTATCATAAAACCACTATTGTTGTAATAAGTACTCCATTACTTGTGTCCACAAAAAACAAAATATAAAAAACAATTATTTGTTTTAGTAGCTTTATATCAACTAAAACCTTTACCATTATTAGCGGTTTTACTTCATTATTTAGCATTATTTTTGGAAATCGCTGTAATACCACTTCAAATTTTATTGATTAGCATCATAAAACAAATATATTCACTAGTACTCTCTCCCTTTCTTAATACAAAGTCTCTTTCTAGTATTTATTGCTCACATAATAAAGAGAAACATAATAAAGATAAAAGGGCTTTTAACTTAGAGACAGAGAAAGTAATTTTATCATAAAACCAAAATCAAAATTATTGTTTTATTACCACTCTCCCATCATTGTTTTATTACCACTTAACATCATTGTTTTTCATAACGTAGTAGATTAGACGATTAGTACAAGTAGAAGATTTTTAAACTTGGTATGGGAAAATATGCACCCTCCCGGTTATTGTTTTATTACCACTCTCCCATCATTGTTTTTCTATCTTCAGCCAAAATTCTTAGTTTCTTACACAAGCTAACAGATTGTGAGACGGTCTCTTAATAACTTGTGCAATAGGATGTAAAGTCCCCACAAAGTCTAAAACTCTAAAAGTATTCAGTCAAATCAAAATCACAGTCATGTTCTCTTTACTAAAATTAACCTAAATACGAAGTATATGTTTAACAATTTAACCTAAACTAGTTTTTGGCTCGTTCAATGAACGGGTTGTTACTTGGGTTAATTATTTTCATATGTAGGTATGCTTTTATACGAAGCAATTGTTTCATTTCTAAAACTTAAAAGAAAAAAAAAAGTTAGGGTAAAATTGTGAAAGAAGATGAAGGAATTTAGTTAGATATATACATGAAGATTGTGGGATATGAAATGACATATCAAATTATATTTAAATTGTAGGAGATGAAAAGACAATTTTTATTATATTTCATATGTTTGTGTAATGTGTACTAATTGATTGAACTTTATTTTATTATGGTGAAAATGAAACACTTTATTTTCTTACTTGAACTAGCTTTTTGGCCCGTTCAATGCACGGATATTACTTGGGTTAATTATTTTCATATGTAGGAAAATTGTTTCATTTCTAAAAAAAAAGAAAAAAAAAAAAGAAAAAAAAAGGGTAGAACTATGAAAGAAGATGAAGGAAATTAGTTATTAGATATATACACGTGAAGATTGTGGGATATAAAATGGGGAATTTTGTGTAGAACTACCTTAAAGATAGGGTCATTTGTGAACAACTACCCATTTTTTTTTATTTGTTTAGAACTACTTGCAAGTTTGGAAAAGTTTGGGTAGCACCACCCATTAACGTTTTTCGTCCCATCAAAACGTTATTTTGGCCCAATTTTTTACTTTTTTCAATTACAATGGTCAATTAATGTTAAAATAAGCAAAAAATCCAATTCAATTAAACCCCCAAACCATATAAATTAAAATCCCCAAATAATACTACACTCATGAACCCTAAAATAAATTATGATTAAAACCTTAATTAGGTTAATTAAGGCTTTGTTTAGTTTAATATTAGTAAAGGAAAAGAAGAGAAAGGATGGGAAGGGAAAAGAAATGAAAAGAAGGGAAAAGAAGGTGATTTTATTTTCTAATATTTGGTTGATGAAAGGAAATGAAAGAAAGAGAAAGGAAATTACTTTTACTTTTCTCTTTCCAATCAAATTCCTCCAATTTTGGGAGGAAAGGAAAGCCAAAATTTTGTTAAGAGACTTTCCTCCCACTTCCTTTCCTTTCCTTTAGATTTTTATGTCATTTATTCAACCAAACATGGGAATATGATTAAAACAATTTCCTTTCTTTTCCTTTCCATCCAAATCCCTTTAACCAAAAAGGACCTAAGGTAAATTAAAACCTTTATACAAAGGAAAAATTGATTCTAATAATCGCACCTTTCCCCGGTTTACTTTTAATAATCCCACCTTTAGATTATTATTTAATAATCCCACCTTTATAGAGGATCTTCTTCTATTGGTCCCTAACTTATTGGTAACCAGTTTAATAAGTTAAGATGACACATGTCATTTTATAATTGGTTAAAAAATAAAAAATTAAAAACTAAAACAAAAAAAAAACCACCACCTATCATCAGCCACCCCATACCCACCGTGAACCCTTCATCCTTACCTTAGCACCACCAAAAACCGGCCGGAAGCCACCCTTAACCCCCAAAAACGGCCAGTCGAAACCACCCAATACCGAAAAACACCCCTCTGACCAAAAGCCACTCCCGAAATCACCATAACCACCACAACTACTACCTTGAAACCGCCGAAATCCACCAGAAAACCGCCGAAAAACCCTCGAAACTGCTACCTAAATTCGAACTCACCCCTTATTCACCATTTCTCCCTCCTCACTCTCGCCTTACTCCGCGCCGCTCTTGCTATTCCAACTGCCTGTGTTTGATCTGGGTTCGAAACTTCAAATCGAATTAATTTGGGTAATTTCGTTGGGTTTTTGGTGGTTTTGGGTAGGGGTTTCGGGTTTAGGGGCGCTTTTTGGTGATGGTGTCGAGATTCGTAGTCGGGGGAGGTGACTAGCCGGGGAGTGTGGCTTGGTTGTCGGCGAGGCAAGGGGAAGGGGGTTGTCGTCGGCAGTAGGTTGATGGCAGTGGGTTTGATTTTTTTTTTTTTAAATCGATTTTTAGTTTTTTTTAAAAAAATTTTGACCAATCATTAATTAACACATGTCACTCAAATTTAAAAACAAAAAAAAATTTACTTAAT